TAGTGAAACTCCGAGAAGGATCGGGAATAGTCAACACCCGTGCTGAAGTTAATCTCCTCTTGAGCTCCTGAAAGCTCGCCTCACATCGGTCAGTCAATTCGAACTTCACAGACTTCCTCGTCAGCTGGGATAGAGGGAGGGCAATCTTGGAAAAGCCCTCAATGAACCTGCGATAGTATCCAGCTAGACCGAGAAAACTGCGAACCTCGGACGGACTCCTCGGTGCTGACCAATTCTGAACAGCTGAAACCTTGGAAGGATCCACCTCGATACCTGCCTGAGTAATCACATGACCCAGAAAGGATACTCGCTGGAGCCAGAACTCGCATTTGGGAATTTCGCAAACAACTTTTCTCGCCTGAGGGTTTCAAGAACTACCCTCAGATGCTCCTCGTGCTCCTTCTGGCTCTTCGAGTAGACAAGAATATCGTCAATAAAGACAATAACAAACTGATCGAGGTAGGAATGGAAGATACGGTTCATGAGGTCCATGAAAACTGCTGGCGCATTGCTGAGACCGAATGGCATGACGACGAACTCGTTGGCCGTAACGAGTCTTGAAAGCGGTCTTAGCGATATCTGACTCCTTAATCTTCAGCTGGTGATAGCCTGATCGCAAATCAATCTTTGAGAACACACAGGCTCCCCTCAGCTGATCAAATAAGTCGTCGATCCTGGGAAGCGGGTACTTGTTCTTGATCGTCAACCGGTTAAGATCCCGGTAGTCGATACACATGCGCATGGATCCGTCCTTCTTCTTAACAAAGAGAACGGGTGCTCCCCAAGGTGACACGCTCGGTCGGATGAAACCGAGTCGTAACAGCTCCTGAATCTGCGCCTTAAGCTTCTGCAACTCCTTAGTCGCCATACGGTACGGGGCTTTGGATACTGGTCCGGCCCCTGGAACAAGGTCTATAGAGAACTCCACCTGCCGATTAAGCGGTCCTCCTGGAAGCTCGTCTGGGAATACGTCCACAAACTCTCGAACGACGAGAACATTGTGAGGTGAACGCGCTTTCTGAGAATCATCAACAAGGCTCACCAGATAACCCTGGTAGTTGCCTCGTCGCAGCAACTTAGTGGCTTTCGCCATCGAAAAAACATGAGGCAAAGAACAATTTCTGGAGCTGAAGAAAGTAATCGACTCATCTCCCGGAAGATAGAGAGTAATCTCCCGGTCATGACATTTGATATCCGCATGATAAAAGGATAGCCAATCCATTCCGAGAATAAGGTCGAAGTCCTTCATCTCAAGAACAAATGGGTCGGTAGGCAAAACTCGGCCACCGATGGAAAGGCTAAGATCTGAGGCTTTAGTTGAAGTCACTATCTTTCGTCCCGAGGCCAAACTCACCTCGAGAGGATCGATAGCAGTAGTAGCGCGAACTCCGATGGCGTCAAGACATCATGGTGAAATGAAAGTATGCGTCGCTCCGGTATCAAATAAAGAAAACACAGGAACATTATTAAGAATAACCATTCCGGACATGGTACCTGGCTGCTGCTCGGCCTCTGCCTGATCGATAGCATAGACTCTGGCC